TCAACCAACCTCAAGCAGGAAAGATCCAGCAAAAAAATGTTTTTTGAGTTCTATTAATGTCATATACTGCTGCTGCGTTAACAGGTGCTCATCTACTTATCTTAACACGTATAATTTGAACAGTTCTGATACTTCCTTATCATAATCAAACCAACTTTAAACCATTATGGTAATACAGCCAGAAGAGAATTTCAAAAATATAAGCAGAGGCCAAACCTGCAATTGAACCAAGAGCTTCAGCAGCTTCATGTCTAACCATCGGATGTTCATTACCATCCCTAAGAATCCGGGAAAGAGCATCTGAAGCTTTTTTGTTCTGCAACTGGCCCAAGACATAGGCAACCTGGCTACCGAGTCAATAAAAAATTATAAATTAATATAACAGAGTCAGCTTTTCAAGTAATAACCAGAGTATGCTGCTCAATTTAAAAACTATTAATTGTTCAGGATCATCTCTAAAACTACGCTCCTTATTTGATATTAGAGGTAACCACCTAACAAAATCTGCTCGCTAATTTATTATCCTTTCTTTCCATTTTTATATCTTTTCAAGATATGACAGTATCAACTCGTATAAATCCAGGGCTAATTGGACCTCAGCAAAAACTAAATCTTCTGGTTTGATGGGACAAAATCCAACTCTTTCTTATGTCTTATCTTGCACAAATGCAAACAAATCAAAACTATTCTTGTTTCGGCAGCATTTAGCCAATTTGAGATCTGTCCACCCTAAAACATTTTATGCAAACTTCCATTTGAACCATGGATTTAATCCCGCATATGAGATCCAAAATGGTTGACTCCGTACAGGCTGGCTAGTAGTGCAGTATGCCCGTATTTTCATAATTCTTTGCCATAAGATATTTTAGAACACCTGATGATGTTTACTTATCCATTGGCCTGAAGGTGACCAATAGAAGTGCTATTGAATGCTGAGCTCTTGACAAAATCGCAAGGTTTCTATTCCCCGTAGCTTTCAACAATTTTCAAATACGTAAATTCCCCATTGCACAAAATAACAGAGACATCAAGTCCATTATCATTCTTCATGCAATCGTCATAACCAAATGGAAGGATTCTTTCAATACATGCATGTTTCCAGATCATTAACACACATGCACTTCTCTAAGTGTTTACTGTATAGCTGACATCACAACACCTTGGGCAGGAAAGAATAATCTTCAATGAAGTACATCACCAAAAAATTGCTTTCTTCAATCTACCCTTAACATTATACTTGGAGCAGATAGATATCAATTTCTCACCAAGAAGTGGAAGATAAGTAGGCACACATCCAACAAAAAATGCAGTGGCACTTGAGAGAATGTGTTTCAACACTTATGCAAGAATAGATTACGCGCCTCAGCCCTCGGCATTATTAAAAAATAAGGGTCTGGGCCTTAGCAATTTGTATACAAAGTTGATTTATATACTGGAAGTATTAAAAAATCAAATAACTTCACCCAGTTTTCCAGAGTTAGAAACAAAAATTAGCCCCATAACTATGGGTCTATGTCGTATTTTTTGTTTGGAGACGCCTCATTTTCTACATTTCACTGAGACATGGCCTATAATAAAACAGAAAAATAAATAAATAAAACCATACATCCCCAAAAATAAGCAGAAAAATTAAAACAGACCTCATGCCGTAGAAGAGCGCTATTTGCACCTCGGGATTCAATAATAGCAGAGATAGCTTCCTCTCCCCCAAGGTTACGAAGAGCAAAGAGTGCAGCATACCGCTCATACATGCTATTACTTTCATTCAATAGAACTTCCCTGCAAAAGAAATATAATAATCAAGCAATTAAGAAAATCCAATTGGAAGATGGGCATGTTATTAATCTAAGTTAAGAATTGCACACCTCAATTCCCGTACAGAAGCACAAGACGCAGGTGCAGCAGGGTCCACTGACAAGAAAGGTGATGATTTTGAGGGCAGAAAGTTCACATGTTTCCCGAACTTCTTGAGCTGGATCTGAAGCCAAACTATTCTTCAAAAGGCCAATAATACTTTCTAAACCAATCACGCCAAGAGCTTCAGCAGCCTATGAATATGCAGGTGCACACCAATAGACGAAATGGTTTAAGAAAACAACATGGTGACAGCGCAATACCCTTTATCCAAATTCAAAAGCATTATACCTCATGGCGAACAATGGGATGCAATGAAAGATCATTTAGAACATCTTCCAAAGCAGGGATAGCATCAGCATCTTGCATCTGACGCAGCCTCGTGTGCTAGCAGGTTCGACGCATACCTGGTTGCTTAAGTAGGAGAAGTCTCATATATACCAACAATATTGTGAAATATTTATCAAAAGAACACTCTACTGAAAGTTAGCAATGGAAATCCCGCTGAAAGTTACAAGTGAAAGATAAAGAAGCTATGCCATCAGCACATAAAGTATAAGAATCGATATAAACTCGTATGGTCTGGTCGAAAAGCTCCGAAATCAATTCAGATTTTCTACTCAAATGAGCAGAACAACTATGATGTTTGTTAGCTTACAGATTATCAAACTCTTGCACTAAGCTAAATCGAGTTGTTTTATTGACACAACTATTTTGGAAGAACAAATAAAAATTAGTAAAATTCAGAGGAAGTGATTTTTCTAGAAAAAAGAGGAGAACAAAATGAGTGCCTCAGCCAATTTTCACTGATGTCTTTGCTGTTTCAATTTCATCATGAACCTTTACCTCAACCACAGATACATATGAAGCTCTTTACTCCAAACAATACTTTTTGGTAGTAGTATCTGACACAACTTCTAGAATGGAAGTCCATTTCATGCATAGACCTTCTTATATGGGAATTTACAAAAAGTGTCATTAGTTATTGATTAACCTTTTATCATAACGCCAAAATAAATAAATAAATAAAAACTATGGGGAGAGGGAGAGGTGATCGTCTACAAACTCATACCAGATATATGAGTAGCAATTCCAAATAAAATATGATAAATACAGTAAAGATTTTACTAAATCTTGTCAAAATAGAAATTTTAACTATAATGCAATGACTTCTGCAAATCAACGTGAATAAAATTAATTATAATTCACTGCAGCCAAATGCAAAACTTACCTGGCAAGTGCAAAATAAAAGGATAATAAAACTAAAGCAGAGAGTGCACAAAAAGTTCGACTTTTTCCATGCAATTTTCTTCATATAGGAGATCAAGTTAACTCAATTCAAGGTACAATATACATTTAAATCCGATAATGTACATCAAATGTTACATCATGGGTTATATAATGTACAAGTGACATTATTTAATTAGTTGGTGGAAATTAAACAATTTCCATCAACCAATTACATAATGCTACGTAACTCTTGATGTACATGAAGCAAAGCCTAGACCAAAATGTCAATGTAAAAATAACTAATAAATAAACAGACGCATAAATATTGTACCTTGGACGAGGGCATTGCGAGGGGCCCGCACACGAAGGTTGCGAAGAGAGAAGAGAGCTCTGAATCGCTCCGAAATCGGTTGGTTTTGATCCAACAATCGATCACAAAGGAATTTCTCTGTATCGGCCGAAACATGGAACGAACATCCAGTATCAGAGCAATCCATTAGGGGCAGAAATGTAGTCGAAACCGGAATTCAATTGCCAAAACCCTAGCTCCCTCCAATTTTTAGAAGGCTTTGGCTTATATGGCGGATGACGTAACTTTGATGCGAAATTTTCTCCAAGTTGGAGGTCACCCAACTTGGATCAAAGTTTCATTCTAGTCAATCCACTTTCCTTTTTCTAAACTAATCCCAAATATTTCAATTTTGTTTCCAATTAATCATCAATATGGCTAAATTTTAGTGTCATATCTCAAGTGAACAATGAAGATATTAATGATCTCTATAGTCATCTCATTGAGCGATAATCGTATTTCAACTTGTAAAATTCATAATTATGCCATTAAAAACAGTGAGACTTTCATATTAAGTTTTAAAAAAATTATATCTGATTTTGATAGAATTGAATGAGATTTCTACAATAAAATAATAAAAACATATACATTGTCTGATTGATTAGGGACAGTAGGATAGTGTGCTTTTAATCTCATTTGATAGTTTCACTCTTATGATTCTAAACTTTACTAGTAATGAAGGGCAAAAATGACATTTGAAATAAATTGGTTTCAAGTTTAAATTAATGAATTGTTGTTCAGTGCAAATGACAGCAATGAGGTCTAATTTAATGGAAAAAGAAACAATTATTCGAGAAGATAATAAAATACATAAACGCTAAAAAGTTTAAATTTGCATTATATCCAACATCAATGCTAGGTGGGGTCGAAGAGTGGAGTGTTTGGGAAAGATAACCCCTTTTTTACTTTCTTCTTTTCATTTAATTATTAGAGCCCTATCTAGTATTGATTTTCCTCCTCCAGAATTGTAATTTTTTGACCTTTAACTATGGCAGGAGGCCCTGCATCACTCACACATTGTCAAATATTGTGGTTTGAACACTGCTTTGTAACGGTTAGAATTCTGCTTTTTGGCAAAAACAAACAGGCACTAAAATTATGAGGATTTTATTCATTTTATCTTTAAAATAATACTTCATATACTTTGCACGGACTCTAAAGGTTGGGGTCAAAATGTTAAGGGATGGTTTTGCATTAGGTGTTAAAGTGAAGGACTAAATATTATATACATATAGATAAATTTATAGACTCGTCTCTCTAGAGTCTTGACTGTTGACTGGAGCTACACTTCTGTACTTTTGCTGCTTCCCTCTGTCGGCACGCGTAACGCTCTCTCTCAAATTCTTCGGATTAGATTCCTTCTGGAGTAATCACTTTCAAATGCTTAACCTTTTTATTGATTGTAAAACCCTAGAATTTGAGAAATTTGATTTGTATTCGAGCAATGCTGTTATTGATTATCGCGGGTTCTAATTATTTTTGTATTTTGTATATGCAGAATTATAACTAGTGAATTGCCGCGATATTTTCATAATCCCAGTGTGTTCTACAGATATTTGCCATAGCCATGAATTCTAGAAGGTCTTTTCGCAATGTTTTCATTCTGCGCCAATTTAGGCCATCACCTTTGAATTACTTTATTGTACAAAAACTAGAAGTTTCAATAATTTATGAATTGAAGTTCGAGAAATATTGCAAGTAATGTTGATTAATTTTATTCGTCTGTAATTGATTGCTTCTATAAGCAGTAAAGTATAAGTTTAATTAGTATCCACTTTGCTTGCCTTATGAATTCAACAATTCCGTTACTTGTGACTTGTGAAGTTCAGTGCTGGAGAACTGAGCTAGTGGACGAAATCAGGATATCAAAAGCTTTTTCATGATTATCTCAATCTTCTTATGCTAGGCAATATCTGACGCGATTAACAAGACCTGGATTTGTTCTGAAAGAGTGAAATTTATACAAAAATTTATACTAGAAGTAGCCATCTGGCTGAGTGGCATATAATTAAGGCTTCTATATTCATGGAATTGTAAGAGCTGAATTTTTGTTTATTTTTCACTACTCAGCATGTTGAACTTTGAATTTATTGAACACAGGAATTAAAAGAATAGGCTGATTTGACGTGAGGGTTAACCATATTTTTCAATGCTCTTTTTCTGGTTAATGGGATTTATACTTCAAATACTCAAAGTATACTTCTATTAGGTAGTGTTCTACTGCACACAGGAGTTATTATCCTAAGTTAACTTGCTTGTTTGATGAAGTAGACTGCATAACTTCTCATCCACTACTTTATTGCATTTCAAATCTATTTTTCTGCTACCCCTGGAATTTATTCAGTTTTTTGTGTAATGGTTTACTTGAGTGCTTCATTTCACTGCTTATCTAAATGAATTACGTAACACAACTTATTCTTTGTCAAATTATCCCATGTTTAGCCCTCATGCCGGCCACATATACAAAGAAAATAAATAATTATGACTGTGGTTACAATGCTGATGCCATAATATGTAAATAGGAATGAAATAAAGAAAAGAAAGGTTAGAACCCGAGATGTTGGTTTGTAGGTCATTAGAAACATAAAAAAGTCTGTTATGCTGTTGAGGTGTGGTCACGCCAAATGTAGCGTTTTTGAAAATCTATACCTGCTGTTGGCTGTAGATTAAATATCTTTTTTTCTAATCTGAGCCCATCATACACCCAATCCTAGAGTACTCTATGGTGACTCTTTTACCTACACTCCACCAAAGTAACTGGAAAAAGGACTATCATGAAGATTGAATTTTCACTCGTTTTCAAAATTGGGAAAAATTGACAATAGTTCCATCAGATTTTCAAAATCTAAAATTGAACCTTATGATATGACACGTGGTGCCGCTAACATCATCATCTTGATCTTACGAGTCACTTTTCTTTATGTTAACGGGAAGAGTGCATAAACAGTTGTTACCTAACATGCAAATCATGCAAATGCCTCAGAACATTGAACTTCATTAACTGACTTAGAGGCTTATAGGGCATCAGATTTTTTACTGATTATCTTCTAAAATTAATATTTGTTTTCTATCAGAATTTACTTTTATCCCATCAAATTCATTTATACATTACCGTCTCTTAGTCTCTACTTGTTAAACCACTCACAATGATCCTGAATTCAGGGACCGTAATGCTAGAGCTGCTCTGTTTGATGGTATAGAGGAAGGTGGTATAAGGGCTTCATCTTCATATTCCTCTCATGAAATTGATGAGCAAGAGAATGATAGGGCAGTTGATGGATTGCAAGATCGAGTTAATCTACTGAAAAGAGTAAGTTTGAATTCGCAGGAGTTTATAGTCGAATTGTGGTTTGACTAGTTGATGCATTTTTCTTTTCCTTTCTTTTCTTTTCCTTTTTTTTTTGGACTAACAAGTATATAGTTTTTCATATTTCAGTTTTGTGTTTTGTTAGAGAATAAAGAGATAAAGTTGAATGGGTTGCTGTAACTGGTGGTTGAGGTATCATGTTAGATCACATTAAGTATTTAATCATGAGGAAAGTTTAAAGAACAAAAGAGGAGTTGAGTTGTTAAATAGGTTGATGGAGAATGCCTACTAAAGACTCTTCCAAACGTTTGTAATTTCTACAACTATAAGCAAATTTACTCAACTTGGATGAACGTGAATGGCAGCTTTATTGCAATGTGTTGAAGTTGTATTTGTTTGACGGGCTTTATGTGTATCCTCTTACAACACCCCAAGCATGCAATTTTTATGGAGATTTTTTTTTTTTCAAATTATAACCCTGAAGAATTTGACAGAAGTCTAACGTATGCTTTGATGACAAAAAATGTTAGTTTGCAACCTCCCTTGTTCAAGACATCTTTAAATTAGTTAAAACTGTTATTAATGAAAAAGAGAAATCTTTTATTTGCCGATGTTTTGTATGGACAATTTCCTATACGAGTCCTGACTTTTCTTTGTATCAACAGCTTTCAGGTGATGTACATGAGGAGGTTGAGACTCATAATCGAATGTTGGACCGAATGGTGTGTATATTATTGTAATATATCCCACATACCGAATGTGTATTATTATTATTATTGTCAATTATCGTTAAGTACTGCTTGATAACTTCCAACATTTTGCTCTTAGGGCAATGACATGGATAGTTCAAGAGGAGTTCTATCCGGAACCATGGATAAATTTAAGATGGTATTTATGACCTCTATTCTGTTATGCTACTCTCTTTTGCTTGGATATATACTTTCCTGCAATTTGACTTCTTATTGCTTCAGGTGTTTGAAACCAAATCAAGCCGCAGGATGTTTACGCTCGGAACGTCTTTTGTGGTTATTTTCCTTGTCGTATATTATCTTATTAGATAAGAGATTACATAAATTGGCGAGAGGATGCTCAATGTCGTTACATGGCTGTGAGATGTCATAGCTTTCTTGTGTTTGTAGAGATGTTTCGGAATGCAACATGCACTTGAATGTATATCTTTTGGAAAACATGTAATTGTTCAATTTTATTTCAATTGATATGGCTTTACCTGTTCTTAATTTAAGTAAATAAGCAAAATAAACAACAAATACCAAGTTTGACAAAATATTTGTCCCTATGTTAGCACAATATTTGGACAAAACTCATAATCGGGAACAAAATGTGATCATTATTGAAGGTTAAGGATGAAAATATGATTAAAAAATTGAAGATATAAATATCAAAATGACCACAAGTTAAAGATCATAATGGTCGTGAACAGTTGCTCCTAGAGAGTGAAATAAGGCTTAGTTGATCATATTATTATTACAGAGTCCACTTAAAACAAATACAACTTACCCGATTTTAGGCTATTTCACGTGATGTCTTCCAATGAAAATTCATGAATCAACTCATCTTTTATAATATGCGCTAATATTTTGAATGTAAAATTTGTTGATTTTCAGACAATGCCCCAATAAAGAGGACTTTAAAAATGAATTGCACCAGCCGGGAATCGAACCCGGGTCTGTACCGTGGCAGGGTACTATTCTACCACTAGACCACTGGTGCTTTGGTGACGTCTTTCTTGTTACATGTAATATCAACTAGTTTACAATTCTGTAGAATATTCGTTCAGCTGTGTGTATTTAGTGGAATAGATTGACTGATTGAGTAGAAGAACCAAGTCAACATACTTTTATTCTTCAACCTTGAACATATCTTCACAAGGATCATCACTTAATATTTACCTTTATTATATTATAAATAGGGTAATGATATCAAACAAAGGTTAAATTCAAATTAATGTGATTTTAAACTCTGCAATTTAACTTTTAGATAAGACGAGTCAACGTAATTTTAGAGTACTTTCAGTCTAATATAATTTATTAGCTCGTATTTATAAAATTTTGCAGAGACAAGTAGATAATGTAATTGTTCCTAATATAAAGAATGTAATGTCTTGTAAACGTATTCATATAGCATATATACATTTGACCTTGATATGAAGGGGACATTTTGAAGTGTTTGTAACCCTTCAAACTTTTAAATAAAGTGGTACATCTGGATTCCGATTACTATGTGATAGTTGAATGGTTCGTTAGTATGCTATCTATTCTGTCAAATTCATATAAACATTGAGAGGGAAAAATAAACATGAAAGCCATTGACAATTGGCAGACTACAAGATTGGTTAACGTTACATTCGAATAAATATGAAATAGATAAACAACGTATAAATGTTTGGATCACGTCTCTTTACAAGGTTGCCTTTTAAGCTTTTGTTTGGAGAGTTTTCTCTTTTTGGAGAATGTATGATTTTGAAAAATCTCTCCCAAACAAAGCCTAAAATGGAACCCCAAGGTCCAATAGTTAGAACCCTAATTCAATCCTAAAATGCAAACGGTGGCATCCCTTGTTGATTTTCTCATTAATTTGAATATATAAATATGGAAACAATCTAATGTACTCAACCTCAATTAATTACTGTAACAAGGACATATATATGTATGCATAAATTGACTGCCATTAGTGAGTTAAATGTAATCTAATAAGGTAAATATGCTCATTTTGTAGTAATGGTCTTTCGTTATAATACAAATAACCAGAAGGGAAAAAGTATGCTACACAAAATGAGAAAGAAAATGACAAGAATATAACCACAGGAAATAACAGTTGCAAGACTGGATTACTTGGAGGCTGTCAATTTATTTTTGGGGCTTAAAATCATGACTTAATTGATCTCTCATGTGTAAGTGTTTGTGGACAATATTATTACTTTATTGAAAAATATGTGATTGAAACTGAGTTTTGAAATAATGTATTTTGAAAGAATGTGCTTCAAATAGGGGCTAATTCTTTTTTCCTTTTCCACTCCGAAAACCACTGTTAAATTGTTTTTTTTTTTTTTCATGTTCCGAAAACATCTGTTTAATTATTTATCCCTTGGAATTCTGCTAATAGAATGATGATTTTACTAGATCAGGTAAAAAATAATATTTTGATCCAAATTAATGAATTTGATCTGTGCAAGAAAAATAAAATCTTAAGACACAAAGCTAGCTAAATATGCCTGGAATAAAAAGTGGAGATCAGAAGAAGTATAACTAGATTGGGGGAAATTTTAGAACCCTGATTAATGATAATCAAATTAGGGTTAAAGATTTATAAGTTGATTCAAATTAATGAATTTGACCAGTGCAAGAAAAACAAAATTTATAGATACAAATCTAGCCAAAAATGCCTGGTAAACTACTAAATGTGGAGATCAGAAGAAGTTGGCACAATTAGAATAGGGGCAACTATAGAACCCTGATTAATGATAATCAAATTAGGGTTAAAGATTTATAAGTTGAAATAAAAAAGCATGGCTATAATAAAAAGTTCTTTCTAACAAAAAACCTTAAAATTCCCACTGTACAGCATCTCCTTCCTTCATTGATCACCACAAAGTTATTAAATTCTTTGGCACAAATAGCCATTTTAGACAAACAAATGGTACTTTTGCATAGAAAATTCTACAGTAACCAGTAACTACCTGAGTTCCATGAAAACGAGCATATTATTAAAAGCTGTACAACAATCCTATCCAAGTCGAAGCTCCAAATCCAATTCCTCTTCTTGACTTATCACCTGTTTCTTCTCCAAATTTTCCATAACTGTTGGCACAAATTCTAAGCTCAAATTCATGCGCCATTCATCCCCAATTTGATTCGCTGGCTGTTGATCAAGGTCATCAAGAGAATTCTGTTGATAAAAGGGTCTAGCACTAGACGTGGATGCTGGAAAATACGTTCTATAATTCAATGATGCCTGATCATGAGATGCAATATACTGTACTGGTTGATAACTGGAAAGTATCTGCTGGTGGAATCTTGGGACTCTGTAATTTTCTTCTTGCCTATTGGAATTGGTGGAAGTAGGTTTGTTCCTTGCTCTATCTTTCCTGTGGATATTCATGTGGCCACCCAAAGCCTGTGCAGTATTGAACCCTCTCTTGCAAAACACACACTCATACAACCGGCCTACGCCAAGATCAATCTTGTCTTGCTCTTGCTGCTCAACTTCTTCACTCGAGTTTAAAGATTCTTCTTGATGATTCGACTCCATTGTAAATATCCTTTTCTTAAAAAATCTCGAAGAAGAAATACTTATATGGTTTTCTTGGACTGAAATAGGGAATGAAGGAGAGGGGCTCGAGGACTACAGCAAGGGAGGTATATAGAAAAGACAATTTAAGGGCTTAGATATTTGATTTGTGCTTAGGTTGAAGGTGTGGGGAAAGAAGACATTTGGGACACCGATTTTGATTTTTATTTATAGACTTATTCCCCTACAGGCCGGCTGCTAGATCCTTATTTCGGCAGACACACGCACTGTTAAACAATTCAAAGAGAAAAAGAGGTTAGGGTTTTTTTTATTTTGCATAATGTAATTGAATAAATAAAACCTAGATACAAAGAAATTATAATTCTGAATAATGTAATTGTATGAATAAAACCTAGATACTAAGAGACTATATATAGGCTAAAATATAGAAAATTTAAAAGACTATTCTACCCTTAATAAATATAAAAATAAAATAATCATATATTTTTTAACACGCACATCCTTTTTTGAATTAATTGCTTTATTTTTCGTACTTTTGTAACGTTGTTCTGCTGTAGATGAAGTCCAAGGTTCCATCTAGGTTTGTCCTACATATGGTCAAGATATGTTGCCCTAGCCCTTGAAACAATATCTACGTCCTGTTTGAAAAGTGTTTATAAACGGTTTAAAATTATAAATAGAAATAAATGAGTGAGTGATAAGTGGTAGTATTCATGAGTTTTTAAAAATGTGTGAATAAAAAGTGATTTGTTTATTTATAAACTTTATATAAACGTGAGCCAAAAACAAACTCAACTAGTCTCGTCACAAATTATGCAGTTGATTGAAATATAAAATGATCATCAGCAATGGTCTCTCTCTCACACACACACACACACATTTCTTGATATCTTGACATTCTATAATTATATTTTTAACAATTTAATTGCATAAAATAGTATACATTCTTACTACCTTTATTAATTTCTAACCTTAAAATGAGGTTTCTCCTTGTAATTCATTTAAACAAAACAAATTCTCTTATTTCCTTCAGTGTTTCTGTTCCAATTATTCAATAATGTACACGGAGTTTACTATGAAAAGTTTCACTGTTGTTTTCAACTTTCTTGAAGTGTTAAAATGACTACATACTGACAATCTAATTACCGTTGAAAAAAAATGAATAGGAAAAAAGAAAATTATAAGCAGAAAATGACTTGGGAAAACTAAACCGTCGGGATGTAAATTATTTTATTGCTCAGGCAAAATCTGGGAAGTTTCCTGCATGGAATGGAAAAATAGCAAAAATTTTCTAATTTTGTAGTTAGTACTTGTCGTTTTATATTATGCAAAGAGTTTCTTGCATCAGATTTATTTGTATATACACCGTCCTTATTCTAATCACAATCACCATCAGGTTATTTAATTTTAATTTTAATTAATTGATTTGAGGAAATTTTTGACAAAAATAAACTTGCATCAGATTTATTTGTATATATACCGTATTTGTTGTCATCACAAAAACCATCGGGTTATTTAATTTTAATTAATTTGCTCTAATTGCGATGGCTGAATAAAAGAAAATTTTGAAAGGGATAATAATAATTCATGTTAACGAGCAAAGGGGTGATCTCAGATGCATCAAAATCAATTCTTATAATTAATTTATTTCATCTGCGTCTTATTTTTTTTGGTAACAGTTGATGAAAATCCCCTTTCACCTTCTCTTGTTAGTTTGCTTCTCAATGTTTTATTGTAAAGCCATAAAAATGTAGTAACGTCTTTTTCGAGGTGACGTGAAAATAACAATTTT